GGTGAAACGTGCCAGGGCTTATTAGTGGGATAATGTTACATCATTTTTATTCTGTGGAAAATGAAAGCTCGATCTGCTGGGCAGATTTATTTATGAGTTATAAACGATGCGGGTCGTTTAAGTAAAATCAGGGCCCTCGAGTCTCACACATTGACCGCCGGGATACATGCATTTCAACCAGTTCACACACTCACAGAAGTAAGGGACAATTTCCTCGAAGGTGTCCCATTATATACAATTGATGGACGATGCGCAGGCACACGGAGTGGAGTTTTCCACCGAGTTCATAGCTGTCCCAGTCGAGTTAGACCGTTTTAATAGCCACCTGCTAGCCAATCAGAAAACAGCATTTGTTGCATGTGATCCCGCTGCAAGCACGTTATTACTTGGATACCCATATATACAGAATGCGGACAAGGTGTAAGTGACAGAGTAAGATCCGATGAAGGTGGTAGGCAGGGCTCTGAAGTGTCACACATTGCCTGTGAGACACAGGCTCTGCCCCTAACAGATGTAATCCAGAATTTTGATGAAACTTGGGAGCCCTGGTAAGATATAAATAACTATCGAGCCCCCATTAACCACCCAATAACTAACAAAACAACATGTTCAAATAAAAGATTAGCGCTGTGATGTTTAATGTATTCTTGTTGTTGAAATTGATTTAAAATCATATTGATATTGAAGAAAGTATTGTTCAGGAATCCCTATTGAAATCAAGGTATCGTTCTAGCACTGGTATTGAATTTTTTTTTGTAAAATGCCCAGCCCTACCCGACACCCCCCCCCCCCCCCCCCAACCACCACCTTCTACAAAGTGTTAATTTTATAGCCTGGTGGCTGACACTGTGGCAGCATTAATGTAGGTCACCTGGTTGGCTGAAGCACATGGTTAAAATACTCAGGCCGGCTCACAAGACCCATTCTCTCGTGAGGTGAGCAAGCAATTTCCAATGCTGATGATACATGACCCACCCAGACCTGCACTTGTCTTCTCTTACCATATGTGGAAGTGGAATGACTCTGGATGGTAATCCTGTTTAGTGGTTTGTCTGCTTGACAAAATCTCCCTGTAGCTATTTGTGATAAGCATGTGCAGCCATCCCCCACTTTCCCGATCAATTTGGTAGCCTATTCAGTCTAGTGTTACTGAGAAGTTGGTGTATTTGTGTAATGGGGGCTGAGGCTTGAACGGATGAGCGTTAAGACGAGCGTCATTCAGGCATTGGACGAGAGCTTCTTTGATGATGACGGAATAGCGGCTAAAGAGGAAGCTCTGGATCGAGACCTTGGCCTGCTGCCAGAAATCTGTCTCTTACGGGTCTATGTAGCAGCGTAGCTGATCTCAAGAAAGGGCTTGACGTAGAAAAAAATTGTGCATGCGTGTGTGGGAATAAGTTGTAAGTATAAATACACCAGATGCCTGAGGCCCTTGAAGTGAGTTTCCGATCTTTCGGTGCTAATCTGGCATGCTCTGCTGCACGGCTCCTGTTACCCCGGGGCCGATGTGACGCTTTCCAGCCGCGTGCCGTCTCCGCGCTACGAACGGGCTGGTATAAAACGGGCGGGGTGATGTCACCGTAGCTGGCAGCATCTGTGGTTTTCACTGGCTCTGGTTTTGCTCATGTGACCCGTCTGGGACAGAGCGAGGTTTGAAGCGGTTTGTTTATTCTTCCGCTCTTCAGAACTCTGTCGTCCCGAGAGGTTCTGTGAGGCCTTTTAATTCATTAGCGCTGACTGTATAAAAACACAGGCGACATTATATGGCTGCTGAAGGTCGGAGTGAATCTGTCTGCAGGCCCACTCACTGTCAGAATGGACGGGGGCTCTGATGTGAGTTTGTTTGCGTTTGCCTAGATACTGCACTCTTCTCAGAATTATTGTAACCTTGGTGACTAACCTGTTTTTTTTGTGGAAACACTCATTCTAGGGAGGGACCCACCCAATTTTGGGCTTTTATTTCACCTTCTGCCCACCTACTGCGGTCTTCAGGGCCTCCAGGGCCAGATGCCTGGGGGGGAACAATCCAGGGGTGATTGTCTTCCATTTCAGTGTGGTTTACAGCTGATTCCAGACACCGTGAAGAATTTCTGCTGTGCATTTCACTGTCCAGCACATGACAACACAATGTAACCTCATTTAATCCTCCTCAACGCGGTTATATTTAACTTCTGTTTTCATGTATGTTTATGTTTGGAAGGCATCGAAAAAATTGCTCTGGAATGTGAGAAATGTCAGTCGCACTCTCTATATGTGCTGCGACTTGCTGCTTCCTCCCAGTGCCATTTGTTAACGTCGGCTTTCCAGGTGGATGGAGGTGCAGGTGACGGCTGGGGGGTTCAGCCCCGGCATACATAGTGTCAGTCTTTACTGCGCCTGGGTGAAGATGAGTGAACTCTTTAGGTCCCCGCTTTCGCTCATCGCTACGATGCTAACAGTAATGATGCTAAAAATAGAAGGGACGGCACTAGCGATAGGCCCCCCCCCCCGCAGGGCGAGCTTTCTAGCCTCTTAGCTGAACGATTGTTTATGTCCTGGCGCGTCGGCGGTGGCAGCGTGCCACGGTGAGCTGTTACTGGGGGAGAGAGGGAGGCCAGGCGATGGAGGACAGATTTGTTGTGCGTTTGAACTCCAGCACAAGTGTGGCCTCGTCTGCCCTAACTCTTCTCTGATTGCTTCTGGCCAGCTGGGAGAGAGTCTCTCCCCCAGGCCAACAGGCTCGCACCTTGAGCAGGGGGAGCCGCCCATAGCCGCGAACGACATCTTTTTTCAGCTGGTCGGGAAACTGCGGTAATGGAAATTCCCTCAACACGTGTACGTGTTTGACACCTTTTAAAGGCGGGAAAAATGTGCCGTAGCGATTCACAGGGAGCCTCTGGACCTCGTGGCAGCTCTGATCTTCAGTTTCTGCTGCATCTGTGCCTCTTGTCTGGATAGTTTATCCCAGTGTTTCCCCACCCCGTCCTCGGGGGAACCCCGGACAGTCCACGTTTTTGGTGTTCCTGATTGGCTGGGAGCTGGGAGGGAGCAAAAACGTGGACTGTCCGGGGTTCCCCCGTGGACTGGGTCGGGAAACACTGGTTTATCCATCCATCCATCTTCTGAACAGTTTTCCTTATCAGTGTCACAGAAGGGCCAAGGCGCAGGCTGGGGTGCACCGTAGTGTGTGTGTCTATGATTGATGTTCATCCTCACCTGCGTTTCCCCCTCTGCTCCTGCAGGAGGTATCATCTGAAACCTGCCCTGGTGTCCAGCGAGCGGGACTCCACTGGCTGGTGGGCGTGGCCGGCGGGCTGGCTCCTCCCCCACCCGGCAGCAGCGTGCGCTCCCAGCCACCCCCCTGCGCCTCGCGCTCGCCCAGCCTGCGCGCCCGAGCCCATGCCCCCGGCAGTGCGCGGCCCAACGCCATGTGCCCCCCGCACGGCGTGGAAGCGGGCAAGCATGGCACGGGCCAGGGGCGGGACCAGGGGCGGGACCAGGGCGGCTGCGGTGGCACGGGTGTCCCGCTGGAGCCCTTCGTCCACCAGGTGGGCGGGCACACCAGCATGATGCGCTACGACGACCACACCGTGTGCAAGCCGCTCATCGCCCGCGAGCAGCGCTTCTACGAGTCGCTGCCTCCCGAGATGAAGGAGTTCACCCCCGAGTTTAAGGGTAAGCGGGAGGGGGGGGGGCTGCCAGAACACGCACATGCTCAGTTCAAGGTACGGTGATGCAAGTTTCCTATGCTAAGCCTCTTTAGCATAATGCTACCTTTCTCTACAAGTTTAGTACAGCATGTTTGTGTCAAGGGCCTAATGGAGAGCTTGCATGTTAAACTCTGTGATCTGTCAAACCAAATTTACCCTCCCTCGCGCTGGTCTTTTGTATCTTCAAAAGGGTCCGACTTCACTTATTGCATTTGCGACTGAATGTTGGGGAAATAGAGACAATGGCAAATTCATCCGGGAAAGAAATCTCGCTCTCTACTCGTGTTTATTCCGGATGGTGCCCTTTACCGCAAGCTGTTACTGTTTCCTGTCCGATCCCCAGCTCCCCAAACGTGTTCCTCACGGAATTTAATTGAAGGGTCTGTTGGGTCCTTCTGTCACAGTGTGCCTAAATCAACGCCGAGAAACGGCAGGCTTATGCACCTTATACAGGGCTAACAATATTACTCCTGTCATTCTGAATTAAAGTCTATTGTCATTCTTTATTTTTTTTTTGTACTGGATAATCTGGGCCTCTCAGTGCCGTCTTTGGTCGTCTCTTCTGTACCCCGTTTGTTGGCTGTTCCTCCGATTTGGGTCGGAAATCCATTTGTGAGGAATAAAACGGAGGCACAGGAGAGCTGAGAGCTGCTGTGCGCTGCGTCGTTTCAAACGGCAAGCAGAACGGCAGGAAAATGTGACGCCGATCGTTCGATAGCCCCTATTCTGCTCATTTTCCCCCTGCAGCCCAGTTAGCCCTGTTTTCCAGTCCATTCAGTCCGTTCCATCTGATCCAGTTTGATCAGGCTCTTCTCTCCTCCTGCACTCCAGCTGGCCCCATTTTCCTCCTCCCTCTCTCCTCTGCACACATCCCCTGGCCTTGCGCTCTAGTCTCGAATAGCACGGATTTCGCAGTGAAGGGGGAGTCGGTACACAAAGTCTCTGGCAGATAGTATTACATCATCATTCTGTGTTTCGCCAAATGCTGCCCCGTAGATCAGACCCTGGGGTGTGACAGGTGACAGTGCTGGGTCGGGGGTGGGTGTGACAGGTGACAGTGCTGGGTCGGGGGTGGGTGTAGGTGATTGCAGCAAGGGCATTGAGTTTGTTGCTGGCAGCAGGTGTGGTCAGTCTGGCCTCCCACAGGCTGGGGAATCACCTCCAAGATGATGACGTTCCTCAAAGCCTCGTGGAGATCCGTCATATCTACTGGCTGCTTTTAGGCCCAGAGTCCTTCATCAAGTGGTTCCAGACAGCACCCCCCAGCACCCCCCCCCCCCCCCCCCCCCCCCCCAACCCTGTTTTATCTTGACCTGTATTGTCCCCCTGCATGCACCGAGTGCTTTCCATGCACACGAAGAATGGCGAAAATGGCACGCGTGTGTTTGTAACCGGCCGAACCTATTTTTAAGGAACACCTTTGGTGTGATGCCCGCATCTCCGTACTTTTCCACACCGTAACACCGGCGCTCTGTCCCGAGCTGCGGCATGGGGAAGGTAAAAATAAGGATGCCTGCCATTGTTGACATATGACAGCACGGTTATGGAGAATTAGCCGCATAGCGCTAAACTTGGTGCAAAGTGAATAAAGAGATAAAAATAGCAGCGAGGGGACTATACTGGGCGAGATGGGTCATTCAGCTGGGCCATTTGCAGAACTGGATTCCTTTCATGTGCAAATATGCAAATATTATTGTTGTTGTGGTGGCCTAGCATTGAGCCTTTGGGCTCCGGACAAGCATTGAACTTTCATTTTTCTGGAGAAGATCTTAATGGAGTGTGAGGTGCACTAATGCCGAGTGTTAAATTTCTTAGCTGTGGAGATTGTGGACTCCCACCGCACTCATGACATTTTTCCATGGGGCAGTCTCCTCTGGGATAGTCTGGGACGTCCCGGTAAATGGTCATCTTTCCTGAGGTGACCAGTCCTTTGGAATTTGCATGACCCTTTACTCCTTCCCACCCTCATTATACCGGATCCCTCGCTGCGGCTGGTGAGCGCGGCGGACTGAGCCCCGCGGCGGACTGAGCCCCGCGGTGGACGGAGCCCCAGTAGGCGAATGTGGCTTACAGGTTTCCGTGTTTCGTGTCGCTCCCTCACTCCTCCGGTAACAGCTGTAGGAAGCGCTGGCTTTGAAACCTCAGGGTGGGGCAATTTATGGTTATGCCTGCATGTACAGTCCTGTGCAGAAGTCTCGGGCAGCTAGAAAAAATAATATTTAAATTACCTTAATGTTGGTGTAAAACTGTTGTTATGCCTGTCGAAGGTTTTTTGCTTAACCCTTTCAAACCCCCTACCAATGTCACATCAGTATTTGCAGCAGCCATCTAATACACTCGTGTATTTTTTGACTCTACCACTAGCAGACCTCATACGGCTAATAAATATCTCATTGATGTTTTTAACTAATAAAACTGATTAATTAAGTTTGAATAAATCCGTGGAGTGGCTTGGGTGCCTCTGAGGAGAGGTTTGGGAACTGAAGCGGCGTTCGTCTAACTTTCCAGCTAGATGTCGGTAACTTTTTGCCGAAATTATTGCTAGTTATCTTGTTATTCGTAATTTGCATATGTTTTAATACTAAATAGTTTGTTTTGTTTTTTTATGCAAAATAGCTCGTTTGACTGCCTAAGACTTTTGTACAGTACAGTATGTTGTAAAGAGTCCCTGTAGAAATTCTGTCCTCAAATTAAAATGTATGAAAATGACTTTGAGGGGATGTAAGGGAGTGGAAGCCTGGAAATCTCCTTCCCTGTCTTACAGTGAGGAAGCTTGTTATTTGTCTGTGTATATAAACGATCTACTCCAGGTACGACACTAATGGCTCATCACCTTTGCAGGTGATGGCAGCTCTGTGACATGTCACTGTAATTAACGGTAATTAGACTTCCTCTGCCGAAGGTAATCAGACACACGGATCCGTTTACGTAACACTGTTATACTGCAGTATTTCTCAACCTTGTCCACTGACCCCCAGTCGGCCCCCATTTTTGCTCCATCCCAGTTCCCTGTCAAAAACATGGACTGGTACCTGAGGACTGGTTTCAGAAGCTCTGTTATAGTCAGCTGTGATCACACATAGCTGGATTGTGAGTGGAATTTATTCGTTGTTTTTAAAGGCTTTTCTGTTTCCTTGTAGACGTGACTGATGCTGGGTCTGGTCTTTGTACCACATCGCTGCCTATTCAGACAAACCCTGATTTTTGGTTCACTGTATTAGTTAATCCCTTTTTTTTTTTTTTTTTTGACTAAATCTGCCCTGTCAGTTTTCCTGCTCACCCACACCCCCCACCTCTGATGGGTCATGCGCCCCCAACCTGTAACAATATCCAGCATGTAGTGTCCCGGAGTTGGGAGTCAATCCTCTTCACTTAGTCACCCTGAGTCAAAAGGTGTTTCTCAATATGCGTACTTGACTGTACTTGTGTTCTCGTGTACCGGTTCCAACACTAAGAACCGAAGTACGGAATGACAGTACAGCTCCCCAGATGCGGTTCTTGTCCCACCTCAGATATCAAGCATGCATCGGTTGCATCCTCGCCAAACAAGACCGGGCCCATTATTCATTGCGGCCCAAGTTTGTTCTTGGGTGTCAAGTTAGCCAGACCGGTCTTGCAAAGACCACAAATACGATCTTCACGTTCTTGGTATTGAGAATCACCCAAAGTCAAAGGTGCAAAAGTTTCCAAACAGCAGGGTTCACACTGAAATAGTAACACTCAGCATTGTTCATATGGACCTGCACTCTACGTTCATTATAATTTTAATCAGTCTTTTTAGTTCTCTTTCCTGAAGTGTGTGTGTGTGTGTGTGTGGGTGGGTTGGTTATGTAAATATTACATAGTGGAGACCATATGTCCCCACAACGTGATAAAATCCTCTTATTTTGACATTGTGGGGACCTTTTCCAATCCCTTCAAGTGGAAACTCGATTTTCTAAAAAAAAATCTGTCACTGTAATAAAAAAAAAGTTGTTTATTTTGTTTGGTTGCTTATGGTTAAGGTTAAGGCTGGGTAAGGGTTAAGGTGATGAAGGAATTATTAGGGTTTTTCCCATAGAAATGAATGGATTGTCCCCATTAACACGTGAATACAAGTGTGTGCGTGCGTGTTCATGGAACATAAAATCATCTGTGACCGAAAGGAAAGTGCTACGTATGGACATCACTGCAGTGTAGAATGTGAAAGGCTTGTTGCACTGGGGGTTCTATAGAGAGTGTGATGTGCAGTGAGGCCCCCCCTCCTCACTGCTGTCTTTGCAAAGCCGTATGCTCACTGTTGCCCCCTGTCCAGTGCTCAGTGCAGCGTGATGCTTTCCCACACCTGGGCTGTGAGGGTGTTTTTCCAGTCGTCTCCCCCTGCCTGTCCCGTCTCCCGCTCCTCAGATCAGCTCATTTTGGGGCGGGGTCTCCACTGGCCCACCCCACCTTCATGAAAATCACCTACAGGAAATGGATTTCATTTCATTGTGTATATTTTACGATGACTGTATTTTTGTTTGTTTTTAGTATGTTTTTTAGGGGGGAGAGAAGGGAAGAATTGGGGGCTAATCAGTGACATCATCTTACAGACTCATTCTGGCGACCTTCTGAAAAGACGCCGCTAACCTGTTATTCCACACGCCGCCCCCGTAATTCAAAGGTTTAACTGTGTTTATGGTGGGGAGCCAGAAGAAGGATGGTTTAATCAGCTGGTGCCCCCTCTGCCTCCCCCCACGCAGGCGTGGTGCTGGTGTGCTTTGAGAACGACATCGATGGGTACATCAACCTGGTGGCCTACCCCTACGTGGAAAGTGAGGGCCTGGAGCACGAGGAGCTGGCTGAGAGGGACCAGCCCCGCAGGAAGCACTCCCGCCGCAGCCTGCACCGCTCCAACAGCGAGCACCGCGACGAGCGCCCGGCCCACGAGAGCGACAGCGCTGAGAGGTGCGAGGGCTGGCCGGCGTTGGTGTGTAGGCCACTGTTTCCTCGGAGACCCCCAGTCCATGGTTTTGCTCTCTCCCAGCCAATCAAGAACACTGAATACCTGGTGCAGGTGTGTTGGGACCTGAGACGGAGCAAAAACGTGGACTGTCTGGCGGTTCTTGTGGGCTGGATTGAGAAACACTGATGCAGGTGCTCCAGAAACATGCTGTAAATGTGCGTCACCAAGACCCAAATCCATAGGGTGTCCTGCCTCTCATCAGGCTCCAGGATCACCATTGCTCTGAACTGGATTCGCAATTCTGGAGAATTAACAAACATAATTGCTAATTGGATTGTTTCACCAGTATAACTTGGACAACAGATGCATCCCATACTGCGAAAAGCTCATTTATACCAGAATGTAATGTGTTTTATTTTGTCTTGATGTCTCGGTTTTCCAGTGACCTTAGACTTGCAGATGAATGATGCTGTTTAGATCAGGATATCTGTGTCACGGTCCCCTGGCCAGAGCGGGCCGTCCCATGCGGTGTCCCATTCCCCGCAGCCCCCGGCTGGAGCTGAAGATCCACTCGGATGTGCCCTTCCAGATGCTGGACGGCAACAGCGGCCTGAGCTCCGAGAAGATCAGCCACAACCCCTGGAGCCTGCGGTGCCACAAGCAGCAGCTGAGCCGCATGCGATCCGAGTCCAAGGACAGGAAGCTGTACAGTATCCCTGTCATCTGCTCCCCCACCCCAGCCCATGTCCCCCGGTTTACCCACGGTACCGTTCCAGTCAAAAGTCTGGACACACCAACTCTCCCACAAAGGAGAGTGTCGCATGACCTGGCCACCCGAGCTAAACACAGTAGAAATGCTTTGACCAGAGAGTGAAGGAAAAGCGGCCAATGAGTGCTCAGCATATGTATGGGATGTCCTTCAGGACGGCTGGAAATGCATCCCAGGAGGCCACCTCATGTAACTGGTCAGTAGGGTCAGCCAATCTCTGGAGTAATTAGGGTTAGGGGTCTTGCTCAGGGGCCCAGTGGTGGGGTCACTCTGCCAACCCAGGCATTGGGGGAAAAAACTGTTTAATTACATGTGTGTTTTTTAATAGTCTTGATGTCTTCATAATTATCCTAAAATATACAGAAAAGTTCAAATAAACATTTCTGTGGGTAGGTGTATCCAAACTTTTGACTGGTATTGTAGCTCTGTAGCCCCCTTCATGTCCCCCCATTTACCTGTGTAGCCCCCCTCATGTCCCCCCATTTACCTGTGTAGCCCCCCTCAT